TGTATATATATATATGTATACATATACATATATATATATATATACATATATACATATAGATTATTCTAGTTGTTGTTACGTTATTCTTTTTTTGAGGGGGAGGAGGGGGGCGGGAATCCTCAGCAGATAGTAGTATGATGGTCACCTGGAAGGTTCCATCCCGTGTGGTTCTACAACAGCGCGGGCCAGGCAGAGTCAACCTGCTCCTGCGCTACCCGTTCGGGGTTTAAGGTATAGGGTTAGGGTTGAGGGTTCGGGGTTGGGGGTTGGGGGTTTGGGGTTTGGAGTTTGGGTTTGGGGTTGCTGACGAAGGGTTCAGGGCAGTTCAGGGTTCAAAAAATCAGAGCCGTTGTGCTTTGAGGACTTCATCTTCTGGAGAGTCTCAGAAAGCAGACCTCACACCCTACGGGAGTTTGGGGACTGCTGCCCATCACCTGGATAGGGTATGCAGAGTTGGCCCCAAAACTGGGCAGGCAGTAGGCCCTTGGAATATTTTTTGATTTGCCCACCCAGTGCCAGCCTACGAATCTCGAGGGAGCCCACAAGAAGATGAATATCCGGAAAGGTTGGGGCCCAAACCCTAAACCCTAAACCCTAAACCCCCAAACCCTAAACCCTAAACCCTAAACCCCCAAACCCTTTTCAGACACCGCAGCTGCCTCCGTAGGCCATCGAGAACCAGCTCACCCTGTACTCCATGGGCCGCGACCCTCGGGTTCTCCGATTCTGCCTTGCTGGGATGTTTAGGGCTTCCTGGGAAGTAACCTCAAGGTCGCCTCACTCTCTTTACCTACAGGTTTATGGGTTCTACCTACCATTTAAGGGGTAGTAGCTAAGTAAATCGACTACAGTTTTTTGGGTTATACTTACTAGTTAAGGGGTAGTTGCTGCTAAACTGTAGGGTAAATCAGGCCCCAGGTTATGTGAAGACAAGGAGGTGCCGTGGGCCCCAGTACGCACTGCGGTTTGCATGCCCGTTCCCCCTAAATCCTAAACCCTAAACGCTTATTATCTGTTTTTGTTGGCTTAGGTTCCCATATGAACCTCCTGAAACCAAGAAATGTACCCTGTTCATTCTTGGATTCCTCTCCGGCCTAGCTGCTCAAAAGCACTGTAAACGCTCCGCATCCCCTCCTTGGACGGCTCCGGGAACTTGGTAGGTAGTCGCTTGCACATTACTCACTTCCCATATGCAAGGGTAGGTAGTAAGGCAGACCCCTTTTGGGTACCTATAGGGTCGGGTTGCAACGCTTTGAAAGTGGGCTTTCTGTCCCTCATGTCTTCCTGTATATAAGCGGTGGCAGCGAAGTGTGCATGTGCAATCCTTTGCAGCAACTGACCCAAGGCGTCCAGAGGTTTGCCCTCCCTAGACCGCACTTGCAGCAACTGCAAGATGCTTTTCTTAGGGTTTAGGGTTTAGGGTTTAGGGTTTAGGGTTTAGGGTTTAGGGTTTAGGGTACGAGCTACGCCAGGCCAAGACATGACATACTATGCAATCTGCTGGGGGTGGCCCCACGTCCTTGCTTGTGGCATCTCAGATGGGCAAGACCAGATCAAATTGAGACACTCTGGCACTGGGTGTTCTCTTGCGCGAGTTTCGGCCTTGTTTCTGAGGCCTATTCTGCTCACGCCCGTTGGCATGTCACAGGCTCCACACAAGTGTCATGGAGCAAGTTGCCACGTGTTTGATTTAACCCAATAGCCTGATTTTGCACCCTGAATATAAGTCTGTAAGGATTACCAGTACCCTAAGTTGTAACCTGCCTTACTAGGTACGAAGTGCCCTGAGACTTGAGGAAAGGAGGCTAAACCCCACACCCTAAACCCTAAACCCCCAACCCTAAACCCGAAGCCCTAAACCCCTTACTGTACACCTTAAACCCTTAAGGACCCCCCCCCCCCCCCCCAAAAAAAAAAAAAAAAAAAAACAGAAGAAGACAGAGCCCAGGCGCGGACCTGACCAAGCCCGCGAAGCTCGTGGACTCCCGGAAGGCGCCGCAAGGAGGCGCAAGAAGAGGGGCTTTGGGGTTTAGGGTTTAGGGGTTAGGGGGTTGTGGGGTTGTGTGGTTGTGGGGTTGTGGGGTTGCGGGGTTGTGGGGTTGTGGGGTTTATGGTTTATTCATGCGGTCTGGACAGTCTAGGGTTTAGGGCTTATAGGGCTTAGGGCTCAGGGTCTGGGTTTAGGGTTTAGGGTTTAGGGTTTAGGGTTTAGGGTTTAGGGTTTAGGGTTTAGGGTTATGGTTTAGGGTTTTGGGTTTAGGGTTTAGGGTTTAGGGTTTAGGGTTTAGGGTTTAGGGTTTAGGGTTTAGGGTTTAGGGTTTAGGGTTTAGGGTTTAGGGTTTAGGGTTTAGAGTTTAGGGTTTAGATAGGGTTTAGGGTTTAGGGTTTAGGGTTTAGGGCTAAGGGCTAAGGGCTTGGGATTTACGGTTTTTGCGTGCACAAGGCTTAGGGTTTCCGAGTTTTGGGGCGTAGAAGGTTTAGGATGTACAGAGTTTGGGGGTGTAAGGGTCAGAGTTTTGGGGGGTTTAGGGTGCACAGTGTAGAGGGTCTGGGTCTTTAAGATGCTTTTGGTTCAGGGTTTAGGGTTTCGGGTTTAGGATTTTAGGGTGCACAGGGTTGATGGTGTAAACGGATTGCGGCTTAGGGTGTACATGCTTTAGGGTTTTCGGGATGGTTAGGTTTTAGGTTTTCAGGGATTCGAGTTTCAGGGTCAGAGTTTAGGGTTTAGGATGTCAGGGTTTAGGGTTTTAGGATTTCAGCGTTTCAGGGTCAAGGGCCTATAGCCCTAAACCCTAAACCCCATAATCTTGATCAGCCCTCATTGTGCCCTCGTGCCCGTGTAGTGCACAGTTCAGTACAGTACAGCACAGTACTGTCATCATGAGCTGTGAAATTATTGCTCGCCAAGTAGCACGGTGCTGCTCCTGACCTTCAGTGTGGCCCATCGATCGGCACTGCCGTCGCTCCACGCGAGCGGCCTGTGCTGCAGCTGCAGCGCCGCTGTCTGGGGCTTCATCAAATGATAGAACAGAAAGTGTCGACGACGGTAATTACAGTAAGTACTGTAATTACTGTACACTTTCTGTTGGTGTGGAAGTTCGGTGGACTGCTCGTCCCCAGGACATTCAGCGAGCGCCGATTGCTGGCGAGAAAGGCGCGTGGCTATGCCCCGATCCGGGATGCCGCAACGTCAACTACGCCTACAGGGCCAGCTGCCACATATGCGCACGCGTCCGCCCAGGCTTGGGCTCAACGCCTCTTGATCGAGTGCAAGGCTGCATTGACCGCCTTGCCTGGCGTCGCCAACGTCCCTAAACCCTAAACCCCAAACCCCAAACCCCAAACCCCAAACCCCAAACCCCAAACCCCAAACCCCAAACCCCAAACCCCAAACCCTAAACCCTAAACCCTAAACCCCAAACCCTAAACCCTAAACCCCAAACCCTAAACCCTAAACCCCAAACCCTAAACCCGAAACCCAAGGCCTCAAGCCTCGAAGCCCCAAGGTCCCTGAAGCCCGAAAGTCACCAAAGCAAGCACCAAACCCTCCCTAAACCCTAAACCCTAAACCCTAAACCCTAAACCCTAAACCCTAAACCCTAAACCCTAAACCCTAAACCCCAAGCCCTGCAACCCTGAGCCCTAAGCAAGGTTTTCTTAGCCAATAGTTGCAACTTGAAATTGTTTGGGTTTCCTTACTTAGTAGGTCAGAATCAGAAAGTACCACCAACCCCCCCCCCCCCCACCAACAACAAAAGCAAAAAAAAAAAAACATAACTGAAACCTCCAAAGCCCTCAAACCCTAAGCCAGTCCCCAAAGCCCTCCCTAAGCACGAAGCACTAAGCACGAAACCCTAAACCCTGAACCCTAGTCCCTATACCCTAGACCCTAAACCCTAAACCCTAAACCCTGAACCCTAAACCGTAAACCCTAAACCCTAAACCCTAAACCCTAACCCTAAACCCTAAACCCTAAACCCTAAACCCTAAACAGGTGAGGGCGAGAGCGTTCAAGGCTGCGCCTGGCGCGAGGTGCGACGATTGCAGTTTGAGGCTTTCGGTGTGACCTATCCGAGGTAGGATAAGGGGGAACCATTAAAAGGGTTTAGGGTATAGGGTTTAGGGTTTAGGGTTTAGGGTTTAGGGTAGGAACCCCCTTCTGGCTCTCTCAAAAAACGGGGACCTTGTTGAGAGGGTCTATAGCCCCAAGGGTCCCCTAAACCCTAAACCCTAAACCCTAAACCCTAAACCCTAAACCCTAAACCCTAAACCCTAAACCCTAAACCCCCCTAATCCGATCCCCTAACCTAGAAAGCCCCAGGGCTTGGTACCCCAGTGGCACCCTTTTCCCTTTTTTTTTTGGTCGAAGGTTCCCTTAGAAAAGGAGCCAACTCAAAACAGGCTACCCTTATTCTTCTATGGTTTCTGGGCTACTAAGAGGAACCCCTTGTTGCCCTTAAAGTGCCCTTACTTGGGGCCATTTAGTAATTTAGGGTTTAGGGGTTAGGGTATTATAAACCAAGTACCCCGTAAGAAGGGTCTACAAGCACACTTGAGGGTCTTTCGTATGTGCATTCTTTACAGTTGTTTGTAATTACAATGGGCATGAAGATGTATTCGCAGGCGAGTGAAAGGAATAATACTACGAGTTAGGATCTCTTGGGGCTTATAGGGGTTGAGGGGGTCTAGGGGTCAAGGGTTGGGATGCTCCCCCTTATACTAACAGTCCTTAATAGGGAATTTGATTGCCCCGGATTCTAATCCCTATTTAAGGGACTGTTAGTATAAGGGTGGAACATTCCAAGTAAAGGGTCTCTTGGTTTTCGGGCTTAGGGTATTGGGGATGCTCGCGCCTGGGGACGTCGCCATCGTGTAGACGAGGGTTTAGGGTTAGGGTTAAGTGTCTAGGGATGCGTCACCTCATCATGTTGCACGGCATCAGGCTCAAGGCTTTGTGTTGTACAGTGGTCCAGCTAGTCCAGCCGTGCGTTGGAACCGCAATGCCAATCAACAAATTCCGTGGAAAGTTCTATTTTCTGTCGAACTTCGGTCCCTGCGAGCAGGGTGTGGAGTTCGATGGTGATCTGTACCCAACTTCTGAGCATGCATACCAAGCCGCTAAGATTGAGGACCGGGACGGAAGGGATTCGTTCACAGTGGGCGGGTCACTTGGTCCCAACCCCCGGGATGCTCAAGCAAAGGGGAGAACGGTCAAGAAGCGTCCAGGTTGGGAGAAGATGAAAGTGGACGTGATGTTGGCCGTAGTTCGCTCAAAGTTCGCCAGGGATGCGGAGATGCGCAAGAAGTTGCGTGCCACGCGTGGTCAACAGCTTGTGGAAGGTCACACGAACGACCAATTCTGGGGCAATAAGAGAAATCATCTCGGCCACATCCTCATGCGCGTGCGGGATGAGCTTCCACAAGAAACGGACCAGACGGAGGTTGCAGATGAGGAGGTTGCAGCCGACTCTGCCGATCCCAAGTGCACGAGAAGCAAGGGCGACGAACGTCGCAGAGCTGAATTTGAAGACGAGCTGCTCGGCAAGCCCTTGAGATGTTTGAAAGTTTCCCTAATTGGGGTTGTGGAGGATCAGATGTTCAGGAGAATATTTCAGAGGGGTTTAGGGTTTAGGGTTTAGGGTTAGGGTTTAGGGTTAGGGTTTAGGGTTTTATGGGCCAGCCAAGGTGTGCTGCATACGAGCAGGGTGAGCCAGAAGATTCAGCCAGTTCAGCCGATGAAGCATCCTGCACAGATGCTGGGCAGCCCAGTGGTACCCTTTACCCTTTTTTTGGTTTGGGGTTTAGGGTTTAGGGTTTAGGGTTTAGGGTTTAGGGTTTAGGGTTTAGGGTTTAGACTTTAGACTTTAGGGTTTATAGGGTTTATAGGGTTTATAGGGTTTAGGGCTTAGATAATATGGTTACTGGGCTCCCGAGGATGATGCGACCGACGCCGGCTCTTCGGACTCGGGCCTCACCGCAGCCTTCGCGGGTTGGCTTCTAGGGTTTAGGGTTTAGGGTTTAGGGTGGTACTACTAGGACCGGGAGTCGGCCCCTTTTTCCCAATTTTTAGGGTTGGGGTTCCCTTGTAAAATACAATTTTCCCTTTTTTTAGGGTTGGGGTTCCCTTGAAAAAAACTCCTTAAAACCGAAGAGGGTGCCCTTTTCTATTCCTAGGTTACTCCCGGCTCTAGGCTTCAACATTCCCTGGCCCAAGAGATGACCAAAACGGCCGATCTGGAGAGTGCTTTTTCCACCATGGAGGTCATTTTGAAGGATGTTGAGGGTGACCCGCATGAGACCCTAGCAGACGCAGCCAAGATGCTCCGAGACGATTTCGGCGCCCCGAAGACTGCCGACGACTTGTTCCAGAATTGGCTCGCCCTTCAACGCCGCGGAGATGCCTTCCTAAACCCTGAGTCCGAAACCCTCAACCCCAAAGAGAGACGGGGTTCCGACTCTGGCACCCTCGAGTCCGGGCCTTCCCGTTTTGGGATGTTCAGCGTTGTAGTAGCCGTGTTTTTGTACAGGAATTAGAATGAGGGTGTACTACAAAGACAATTCCCGACTGTGGTACCTTTGCTATAAGTGAGGGAAAGCACCCAAACTATATCTCTCTAATGGCATGACGCAGAGGAAGGCCCGGTAGGAGCTCCGTCTCGGACGATCGCTGTACAGCTTGGATTTGAGGCAGGAACGTTCAAGACTTTTGCAAGAAGACGCCACATTCCTTGCCAAAACAGGCCCACCCTTTTCTGCCGAAGCCCCGTGTGAGTTAGGAGCTCCCATGACGGGCCCAGGTAATGTGGCCTAAACCTTAAACCCTGAACCCTAAAACCTACACCTTAAACCCTAAACCCTGAACCCTGAGCCCGAACCCTCAAACCCTAAGCCCCAAACTCTCAACAGCCTGAGTAAGGCCCTTTAGGGTTCAGATCAGGCAGCGTGATCTAGGAAAGGCTGGAGGGTGCATCAGGAGATCTTCCAAGGATGTAGCCGCTCGAAGTGAGGGTGTTGATAGGGCTTTGGGCTAAACCCTAAACCCTAAACCCTAAACCCTAAACCCTAAACCCTAAACCCTAAACCCTAAACCCTAAACCCTAAACCCTAAACCCTAAACATCCCTAAACCCTAAACTTTGCTCATGAGGTTTCGTTAGGGCCTACTCGAGCCACTGAACCTCGACCCCAAACCCTAGGCGTTAGACTGTGAACTCCTGAACACCAAGACCCAAACCTTAATATCTTCGCAACCTGCTCTTTGTCTGTGATATGGATCAAGGACGCTTGATCCAGCCGCATGCCTGCAAGTTATTGCTTGTGACATCCTTTCCTTCAAGTTGTTTGTGCTCGCTGCTGGTTCTTTCCAAGCTGTATGCATCAAGAAAGGTGGAAGGCATTCTTGGTGTGTCACTTGTCTTGTTGCAGTGACATGATTTGGTGCAGAACATGTCAGTCTGCCCGAGAAGACTTGCGAAACGTGTTCTCTTCAGCGCCAGAACACCGTAAGCAGCATAAAGTCATGTGGTCATTTGTCAAAATGTCGGTCCCTTTTGAGTACCATAAAAAGAGGGGCCGCCTTATAATGGCAACCCCACAAGGAGCCAAAATTTAGAGAACTGACCACATATCACCCTAAACCCTAAACTCTAAACCCTTAACCCCAAACCCTAAACCCTTAGGGTTTAGGGTTTAGGGTAAGTGTACGCACGTGTGCGACCGACTGCCTGAGTGATTGCGATGTCCTTGATGCAGGACCCGGCTGGCAAGGGCCCATCCTTGCAATTGCTCCGGGACATGGGAAAGGCATCTCGCAGCTTGGGGTTTAGGGTTTAGGGTTTAGAGTTGAAAGTGCAGGGTTGAGGGTTTAGGGTTTCCGCACCTGTGGATCGATTCTTTTGGAGCTATTAATCTTCGCAGAGGGTCCCCTTGTGGCACAGTTTGTTTTTGGATTTATTCACTCACCAAGCATACCCAGCTCTTGCATTTGGACCTAAACCCTGAACCCGCAATGCCAGATGGGATTGACAGTCGGTCACTGCAAGCAGACTCTGTAGGTTTTAGGGTTTGGTGTTTCGGGCCCCACTAGTCATCTGCCAAATGAGGACAGGAGCTCTTGTGGTTAGGACATTGTGGTATTTCATACTCACCTTTGTTGGATTCCAGAGTACCTGAACCCTAAACCCTAAACCCTAAACCCTAAACCCTAAACCCTAAACCCTAAACCCTAAACCCTAAACCCTAAACCCTAAACCCTAAGCCCTAAACCCTAAACCCTAAACCCTAAACCCTAACCCTAAACCCTTTAAGCCGCTGAACTTTGCCTTGTTTGTGAGTTTTTCGGAGGCTTCTGAGGGGTCCAAGCCTGGGTGTCTTACCTCTGAGGATGGTTGGGAGTGAAGGACGGACCTGCGTCTAAGAACCCTTTTGGTTAGGGTTTAGGGTTTCGGGTTTCGGGTGTAGGGTTTAGGGTTTAGGGTTTTGTTTTAAGGGTTTAGGGTTTGGGGTTTGGGGTTTAGGGTTTAGGGTTTAGGTTTTGAATTTCTTGTAAGGGTCGTAAGGATGAGGCTCAGAAGGGCTGTAACGAGTTCAAGGCGAAGCCGGGACTATTTGCCTACAGTTTACTTGGAGGTTCATGGTACTTGTTAACCACTTATAACTGTACTGATAGCCCTACTTATATTACCCCTCAAGGGCCTTATAGGGGTTATCCCATATATAAGCAGGGTTAGAAGCCCAGTTATAAGTGGTTATTAAGTCCCATGAACCTCCAAGTACAAGTAGCTACCCCTGAATTCGTAGGCATAACCCATTGAACTGTAGATTAAGAAGAGAGTCCCAGGAAAGGCTCGCAGGGTCTAGGGTTTTTGGGGTTAGGCGTGGAGGTCTTCTGAGATCCGACGGCCGGACTGTGCTGATTGGTGAAACCTGCGCAGAATCTTCAGACAACAGCCTAGGAGCCTCGCCCTACCCAACCAACAGCTTGGGCTCTGTTCTCAGTAACTCAGCCTTAAACCCTAAACCCTCAATCCGAAAGCCTATATAAACCCTGAACCCTAAACACTAAACCCTAAACCCGAAGCCCTAAACCCTAAACCCTAAACACTAACCCTAACAGCGTCTTTGTGTTCAAGCTCGTTGGCAAAACGTGCGGAGGTCCTGCCCGACG